TTTTTTTTAATTATTGTGATAATGAAGGAAGGAGAGGGAGAGGGAGAGGAGAGGAGAGAGAGGAGAGAGAGAGAGAGAGAGAGAGAGAGAAGAGAGAGAGAGAGAGAGAGAGAGAGAGAGAGAGAGAGAGAGAGAGAGAGAGAGAAGAGAGAAGAGAGAGAGAGAGAAGAAGAGAGAGAGAGAGAGAGAGAGAGAGGAGAGAGAGAGAGAAGAGAGAGAGCGAGAGAGAGAGAGGAGAGAGAGAAGGAGAGAGAGAGAAGAGAAGAGAGGAGAGAAGAGAGAAAGAGAGAGAGAGAGAGAGAGAGGAGAGAGAGAGAGAGAGAGGAGGAGAGAGAAGAGAGAGGAGAGAGAGAAGAGAGGAGAAAGAAGGAGGAGAGAGAGAGAGAAGGAGAAAGAAAGAAGAGAGAGAGAGAGAGAGAAGGAGAGAGAGAGAGAGAGAGGAGAGGAGAAGAGAAGAGAAAGAAGAGAGAGAGAGAGAAAGAGAAAGAGAGAAAAAGAAAGAGAGCGAGAGAAAGAAAAAAGAAAAAAGAAAAAGAAAGAGCGAGAGAAAGAAAAAAGAAAAAAAGAAAAGAATGATAATCAAATCAAGCTGCGAATTTGATATCCCCAAAATAATTATACAACATGGTTAATTACAGCCAAAAGCGGTTCTAAAATCCCTTGCATTTTTAGTCGAAATTAATGAACAATTGTTACACAAGAAAAGACAACTTTTTGATTGATTAAACACATTTTTTGCATCCTTTTTCGAAAATCGTTTATATATCTATCCTTCTCTCTATCTATATCATTATTCATGTTATTTATCTGTTTTATTGTTAGTCATTCAGAAAATTGCCTTGTGCACATGATTGTGTAAAATGTTGCTTGACAGTTTGTAATGAAGATTTATGGAGGAGGGAGAGGGAGAGAGAAAGAGAATTGAGAATGAGAGAGAAAGAGAAAAAGAGAGAAAGAGACATAGATAAAGAAAGAGAAAAAGAGAAAGAGAGGGAGTAAGAGAGAGAGAGGGCAAGAGCAAGAGAAAAAGAGAAAGAGAGGGAGTAAGAGAGAGAGAGCAAGAGCAAGAGAAAAAGAGAAAAGAGAAGGAGTAAGAGAGAGAGAGAGAGAGAGAGCAAGAACAAGCGCAAGGGATGGGAGAAAGATAAAAAAAGAATGAATGACTTAATATATGAAACAGAAAAAAAAACGAAAAAAGCGAACCTTGTTTCCACGCACAGATCCCTCTCTTCAAAAAGGGGCTAACTGGCAGCTCCCAATTAACGAAATTCCGTTAGTCAAACAACATCATTTATTACGTCACTCAACGATGCAAAACGTGCTTAAGACTTTATCGAATATTTCCTTATGAAGTCAGCTGTTCATTGATGAAGACGTGTAAAAGAAAATGGGTTTCTGATAATTTCGATTCTTGAAGGGAAAACTAGTACAAAGATCTTGGGAGACTTTAGAATTAGGTTGTGCAGTGAATTTGTATTATGAGGAAGAGAAAGGGTGGGTGGGGATGGGGAAATGAGGAGGGGAGGAGAGGAAGAGAGGGAGGGGAGGGGAGGGAGGGGAGGGGAGGGAGGGGAGGGGAGGGGAGGGAGGGAAGGGAAGGGAAGGGGGAGGAAGGGAGGGAAGGGAAGGGAAAGGAAGGAGGGAAGGGAAGAAGGGAAGGGAAGGGAAGGGAAGGGAAGGGAAGGGAAGGGAGGGAAGGAAGGGAAGGGGAAGGGAAGGAAGAAGGGAAGGGAAGGGGAAGGGGAAGGGGAAGGGGAAGGAAGGGAAGGGGAAGGGAAGGGAAGGGAAGGGGAAGGGGAAGGGAAGGGAAGGGAAAGGGAGAGGGGAGAGGGGAGAGGGGAGGGAGGGAGGGGAAGAGGGAGAGGGAGAGGGAGAGGGAGGGGAAGAGGGAGGAAGAGGGGAATCAGTAGGAGGATGGGGAGAGGAAGAAGAGGGGAGGTGGAGGAGGAGATGAGAAGGGTGAGAGGGAGGGAAATGGGGAAACGAGGAAGGGGAGAGGAGAGAAGGCAAATTAAAAGGGCAAGAAATAGGGAAAGGACGAGTAGGAGAGTTGAGACGATAGAAGACTGAAAGAGGGATAAAAGAAATAGACAGAGAAAGCGAGATAAATAGGGACAAAAAGAGAAAAAAGAGAATGAGACAAAAAACAGATATAAAAAAGACATGAAAATAAAATAAGTAGATAGAGGAAGAAAGCTAAAGGTGAAATAGAATACACGAAGAATTTGCAGAATGTAAATGACAACTTCAACTTCGACAATTGATTCCAAACGAGCATTCCTGAGTTTTTTTTCAGCCTTGGCAATCCGACTGCAAAAATAAACAAGGATTCTGCAGACTTATAATGTAGTTTACAAGGTGTTTGAAGATTTACTGTATGTTGTTTTTTTTTCGATTTTTTCGATCTCTGCGAGGTTATGATTTCGATAATTCTAAGAAAAGTGAAGAGGAAAGGAGGGCGGAAGATGGAGAGAAAGAGAATAAAAATATACCAAGAAAGAATTTGTATAAAAGAACAAGAGAACAAACGAAAAAAAAAACAGGAAGAAACAAGAAAAAAATTAATTCGGGGAAAATTGGAATTTAAAAAATCTTATTTTCTGCTGTTCAAAAAGGAAACACTTCGTCAACACAATGAACAAAAAGAAAAATGGAAAAAAGTGTTTTTTCTTAATTTCTAAGATCTGTCTTTTCCATGACTTTCTTGCTCTCAATGTATTACACAACATACCCACACATCATTTGATTCAGTGCTAATAAAAAACAACAAATATATATTTTCATTTATAACATATGGGTTAGTATATATAAATGGGGGGTTAGTAAATATAAATATATAAACTCTACAAAAATAACTTAACCGTAAAGAAATAAATATATGCAACACAACAAATGTCCAAAAAAAAAAAAAAAAAAAATTGCTCAAGAACAAGGAAGATATATATACCACCTATGAGGCTGACCATTCCCTAGTCACGCTCCCAAGCTCATCTGTATCACATACAGTAAAACATGAACCGATTTGCCAATCTTAATCCGCTAAGATTTTTTCATACCGACTGCTAAAAGGGTGGGAAAAAAAGGTAAACAAACCTATGTACACACACACCTAAATTACCTGAGTTTCAAGACCGATTGACAGTTGACAAGTAACTTAACTGCAGGTTTTGGCACTAAGGTTCATAACGTGGTTTGTAATTCGCAAAATTGACCGGAATTTAGTACGATTTTCTTGTTTTACCTCCTGTTATTTGTATTTATATATTTTTTACTTTCTATTAAAACAAAGAGGACAGTTGTTCAGGGTAGTTTACACGCTGAAAAAAGAGTTAGATTATAAATCCTTATTTGTATCAGTGTATCACCAATGGATAAAAAAGTGAGAGGAGAGAAAATGGAAATACGAGAAAAAACTACATGAATGAAGGAGATGAAATAGCCAAGAAATGCCAGAAATTTACGAGAAGACGAAGGAAAGGGATAATGCAGTAAATGAAGAAAGAAGGAATAGAAACAGAGCGAGGAGACAAGAGAAAAAGGAAAAGAAAAAAATCGAAAGGAAGGTACAAGAAAGAATAATAAGGAGAAAGGAATAAAGAAAAAAAATAATGACTGAAGATAAATCGAAAAGAAGTAAAAGGAAAAGAAGAAATCAAAAGAAAATGAAAGAAAGAAACACCAAAAGCACCAGAAACACGGCTCGGAAATATGAACTTTCTCCGGATTTCAACTTATTATTCATCTCTTTCCCTAAAACCATAAAAAGCACGAAGTCAAACCATCGCCAAACGCATCAACGAATTGATATTAATTAATAAAATGGTCATTATCTTACCCTCACCTGAACTAATCACACTTAAAGCTTTATATATATACTGACTGAACACTGACACACAGGACGAAAAATACAGATTACGTTTTAAACATTTACGAAAGAACCAAAAGGAATATATTCATATAAATGATATGATATGAACCTCTTTTTCCACAATAGCCTTAGGCCGACCTTCGTTAAGTCGCAGGTCAAAGGTCAAAGTCTCAAGAACGTGAGAAAGAACGGGGAAAAGCAGGGGGAAGAGGGAAAGAAATAAGATGGAGATGGAGGAAGGGAAGGGTGAGGGGAGAGGATGGAGGAAAGAGAAGAGGAAAGGAACAGGGAGGGAGGCGGGGGAGGGAAGAAATGGGGAAAGGGGGGGGGAGAAAGGGGAGAGGAGAGGAAGGGAGGGAGAGAGAGGAAAGGGAGTGAAGGAGAGAGAAGGGCAGGAATGAAGAGAGAAGGGAAGGAAAGGGAGGGGAGGAAGAGAGGAAGGAGTAAAAAGGAGGAAGGGGAGGAAGGAGGAAGGAGAGAGGAAAAGGGAAAGGGAGAGAGGAAGAGAGGAAAGAGGGAAGGGAGGAAGGGGAGAGGAAGAGGAGGAAGAGGGAGGAGAGGGAGAGGGAGAAGGGATGGGATGGAAGAGAGGAAAGAGGAAGAGGGGAAATGGAGGAAGGAGAAGAGGAAAGGATGTGGAGGGGAAGTAGAAGAAAGGAGGTCAGAAGAAAGAAAAAGAAAAATAACCAGAAAGAATATACATACATAAAGAACAAGAGAACCCAAACGAGAAAAAAAGAGAAGAGCAGGAAAAAAATCAATAAAATAAGAGAGAAAGAGAAGCCCTGAACACGTCGAAAAAAAATTTCTAGCTTCACGCGAGCAAGCGCGGTAATATGTCAGAAGCAACAACATTGACCAAAACGTTGAATCAACACATTACACACCACTGTATGCTATCCAGAAAAAAGACTCACCGGCGACACCAACACAACGAAGTCGACGCTCGAAGCAACGACCCAATATAAAATGAATTTGCCTTTGGAAGCATCGTTGCCACGGGTTCAGTGTTGCAAGCGCGGAGCAAAGGGGGCAACACGCGTTTCCATCTTTGCGAGGATGTAGTACAAGTTGTGTCATAAAGTGTAAATACCATTTAACACGGACCCAAAAGTGTGATTAACACCAAAAGTGTGGTAAGCATTTAACACGGTCCCAAAAGTGTGGTAGACGTCTAACACGGACCCAAAAGTGTGGTAGACGTCCAACACGGACCCAAAAGTGTGGTAGACGTCTAACACGGACCCAAAAGTGTGGTAGACGTCTAACACGGACCCAAAAGTGTGGTAAACATTTAACACGGACCCAAAAGTGTAATAAACATCTAACACGGACCCAAAAGTGTGATAAATGTCCAAGGTGTTGCGAGAAAACTAATGGTACATGTTTGGTAAAAGAATCAAGGAGATAGTGAGCATTTCGCTTTTTACGATAGTACCTCCCGTGTAAAATATGACGTTTTCTATGAGCAACTATGAAAGAAAATGTACATCGCAAGGGACTAACTAATCCCTTTTCAAACAGAGTTGAATGGGAAACGAAATTGAAACAATAAAATGAAAAACATCGCAAAAAACTCGTATCCAACAATATATCCACACGCGAACACAAACAGACACACACGCAAACCAACCAACCAGTATTTTCATCTTACTATATCGCACAATCAACAAAACCTTCCAATTTCGCATAGAAGTTGGTGCCTCTCGTTGGCTGTTCCTTAGTCTTCATGGGCGTCTATCCGGCTGCGATCGCCCATATCCTCGTGGGCGTCCTTTGGGCCTTGGGTGTCCATTTTATCGCGACCTTCCATTCTGTCGTGGGCGTCCGCTCTGTCGTGGGTGTCCATATTATCCCGGTCGTCCGTCTTGTCACACCCGTCCATTCTCTCGTGGGCGTCCATTCTGTCATCGTGGGGCGAAAAGGGCAGCGTCGAGGGCGGCGTCTCATGCCCGGAACCGAGGTCAGAGGTTATGGCTTCCAGAAACGGGGTCATGTACCGGGTCATGAGCGAGGAACAGATTCTCGCGTCGCCCTTCTCGGCTTCCGTGTACAGCGTGTAGAGTCTGCGGGACGAAGTTAAAGGGAATGAATGAATTTGAGAGATAGAGAGGAGAGGGGAGGAGTAGGGAGGGAGGGAGGGAGGGAGGGAGGGAGGGAGGGAGGGAGGGAGGAGGGAGGGAGGGAGGGAGGGAGGAGGGAGGGAGGGAGGGAGGGAGGGAGGGAGGAAGTGGAGGGAGGGAAAGAAGAAAAGAAACAATGAGAAAGAAATAGAAAAGAGGAATAAAGAGAAAATAGAGAAAATGAAAAAAATAGAAGTGAGAGAGAAAAAGAGAAAGAAGTAAGAGAGAGAGAGAAGGGAGATAAAAGAGAGAGAAGTAAGAAAAAAGAAAGAAAGAGGAAAAGAAAGAGAACGAAATAAAGGAAAGAAAGGAGTTAAGGGAAGAAAGAAGGAGAGAAATAGAGAAGAAATGGAGGAGGAGAGAGAGAGGAAAGAAAAAGAGCCATTGAGAAAGTATATCAAAGTAGAAATGAAAAAAGAGTGTATGAGAAAGAATAGAAATAGAGAGAGGTCGGAAAGAAGGTGAGAGGAAGAGTAGATTTGAGGAAGATATATATGATAGAGGACTGACAATAATAGATGACTATGTAATGGAAACAGTAATTTAAATATTAAACAGTATATAATAGATGAACTATGTGAAAATTACCATCCTCGTTTTCTTCAAGTTTTAAAAAGTCTCGTCTACTGCCTTGTGCTAAATTGGTCAATCTGTAAAATACTGAAGAACTGCCTCCTTTGTCTCTCTCAAATCTGTATGAAATCCGAGTAGGGGAGACAGGCGAGGAGGATGAAGAGGAGGAGGAGGAGGAAGGAGAGGAGGAGGAGGAGGAGGAGGAGGAGCGGAGGAGGAGAGGAGGAGGAGGAGGAGAGGAAGAGGAGAGGGAGGAGGAGGAGCGGAGGAGGAGGAGGAAGAGGCGGAGGAGGAGGAGGAAGAGGCGGAGGAGGAGGAGGAAGAGGAGGAGGAGGAAGAAGAAGAAAGAAGAGAGAAAGGCGAGAAGAGAAGAGAGGAGGAGATAAGAGAGGAAGGAAAGGAGAGAAAAGAGAAAAAAGGAGGGAAATGACAAGAGAGGAGGTAGGGAGCAGGGGAAAAGAGACGAGACGAAACGAGAGAAGAGAGGAGAGAGAGAGAGCAGAAGAGGAAAGCAAAGGAGGAGGAGAGGAGAGGCAGAGAGCAGAGGAGAGAAGAGGAAATAAGAGACGAAAAGCCAGAAGAAATGAATAAAAAGGGGAAATAAGAAGCAGAGATCTTACGAACCATGAAAAAATAAAGAAAAACAGAAAGTATAAGGAAAAAAAACCAACGCAAAAAATCAACATGAAAAGCCAAAACAACGCCCCCCCCCCTTCCACACACACAAAGCACTCACAGCGTCTGCCACGTGTTGGCCTGCAGGCTGGGCACCGGCACGAGGCTCAGCGCCACCTGGATGGCCGCCGACGCCTGCACGCTCGGGAGGAACTGGCTGATCTCGTAGTTACTCAGGCAGGTCTCGGCCACGTGGCGGCGGCGACGGTCACCACGTCCAGAAGGGGAAGGCGGCTGAGATTTGTGTATATATTTCTCAAT